TCATAGCCAAGACAATATAGACATTTGACCAAAGAGTTCAAAATAAAATTATCCATACTACCTATTTTTCATTTTATGTGCAGTGATTGCTTTGTAAAAATCCTTCAACTTTTATGTAGGAGGGTGATCACTCTCACAGCATAGCTAAGTCACAACAAATTTCAAAGCTTTGAAAAAAAAAAAGTTGACAAGTGAGAGATAAAGCCCTAAAACACCAAGTGTTGGTCCTGTCCCCTTTTCACAGTGTTACCATGGCCTGACCTTTTGCTAACAACGATCAAGTGGATTCCAATTATGTAGGGTTTATGGTCTCTAATGAGCTGATCTTTTTGTAAAGAAACTTTCTGTGTAAATTGAAAACAAAAATCAGCTAAATAGGGACTCTAGTTTTCTAATCATGTTTCCATTTTTGTCAAGTCCAAGAACAACCAGCTAAGACATTGGTCGGCAAACTCATTAGTCAACAGAGTCAAATATCAACAGTACAATGATTGAAATTTCTTTTGAGAGCCAAATTTTTTAATCAACTTCTTTTAACGTCACTTTTTCAAAATAGACTTGGCCAGGCCATGGTATTTTGTGGAAGAGCCACACTCAGGGGCCAAAGAGCTGCATATGGCTCACGAGCCACAGTTTGCCAAGATATGTATATTCCAATAAAGATGAAAGTAATAACTTCTGCTGGTGTCTCTTCTGAGTCTTTAGTTCCCTCACTGACCTTTGCCTGAATAGTAAAAGCAATACACTTGCAATTGAATTTACTATTATCAATGGAATTCTTGTCACAGTTCCTATAGATCCAACAAGGTTCATTGGCTGAGATCAAATCCCTGGTTCTTCCCCGCATCCTCCAATTCCCTCGTCTGTTTCCCAGCCAGTGTTCTCAAGAGATGCTCTTCAGGCCCAGGGCCATGGTCTCCACACAGAATGACCTACAGCCGCCAGTACAGGGCAAAGGCCATGCTCGCCAGGAGCCCCCGGGGCCTCTCTCCTTTCCTTTTCCATTCCTCAATCTCTCTCTTCCTCTCACTCTCCTTTTTTCTCCTCCTTTTACCTACTACTTTATTGACTTCCTGTTTCTCTCTTTCCTTTCTCTCCTCTCTCTTTCTAAGAATTTCTTGATGCAACTAGAAGGGCACGGAAAGGTATCCCATGAAATCCTAGGCTGGAAGAGAACGAGTGGAAGCAGTTCTCATCACGAGCAGACACTAAATTTGATTTGTGGCTGATCTGAAATGTAGGAAAAGACTTCCAATTACAAAACTCATAAAGTACAAAGATGAGGGGACCTGGCCGCATTTTCGGTTTGACTAATGGTTTCAAAGTGCTTTCAAACACTTGGCATTTGCCAGCCGTCCTTTCTTCCCCTAATCCTCAAGCGCATGAGTTTTTTACGGGGAATGTAATCCTCTTTTCTGATTCATTTACACTTAGCTCATCTGTGTATTGTTTTGTCAAAACCATCTGAAATCCAAGACGTTCTGTGAGATCTTTAAAGACTTGTTTTGCGAACCAGGAAGTGGTGTGTTGCCAATATAAATAGACTCGAAACGTAGCGGGGAGGGTGGGCATCCAGAACCCAGGGCATGAAACTGGGTCTGGACTTGGCAAAGGCTGGTCCTCATGCTGGACAGAAACTGGGCTTTCACTCTTAGAATAATAGTGAGTTCAGTGTTTTAGATGAGTAACCATCTCCTAAGATAGTACAGAGGGTGCATGACACATTTTCCAAGGATTATTTTGCTAGCTATATAAATAACGAGATTTACGTGCCAAACTATGACTTTGCTAGAGTTTCTGCACTAGATTACTTCTGTGGACATTGCCACACTCATGGTTGTGTTTACGCACATGTATACGAAATGGGGATGGGCCCTTTGGGAATGAGATGAATATTGACACGCGAGAGTCTTCCTGTGGTTTAGTGTCACAGGATTTGACTGTGATGTAGCCAAATCACGAGGCAGGTTGTAAGCAGGTTGAAGATTGGGGCCGAATGCCCACCTCTGGGTTGTTGTGGGTCCAGAGGAAGGAAGCTTGAACAGTAGAAAACGTTCTTCTGCAGAGCCACAGAGCATGGCGAATCCAGGTCAGTGGTCTCCCCAAGGCAAGGACCTCGGGTTGACCCTCAGGCTCTCTGGAAACTGAGACTCAGGTGAGATGACTTGACAGGCCCAAGTTCCCACGGGAAGTGAAGCAGAGCGCTAGGGCCCAGACTGACAGCTCCCGGCTCCACATCCTGTCTCTGCAGACAGCTGCCTCTCATTGACTGAAAGAGGCTTTGATGTATGTGGTCCATCTAGGCCCTGTGAGGGCCCCACAAGAATGGCCCGCCCACCATCACCCTAAAGGCTGGTCCTTGGATGATGCTGTCCTTAACTCTTTTCTGAGCTTTCACCTGTGACACCCCTGCTCTCCTATTCCGACTCTTCAGAATGGAGCTAGTGCAGCTAGACTCTCCATTACCGCATTCATTTCAATGGCTGCTATATAATTCTACCTGCGAGGTCAAATCTCAGTTGAGTTGCAGGTGGGAAATGTTTTCCCTAGTGTTGTGCATCTTCCATGAGATGACAAAGGTTGTACTGGACATTGGAATTGTACAAACCAGGTCCTGCCTTGTGAATTGAACATTGTTAACACAAAGTTTTGCTTTATTCAGTTGTTTATCTTTTTTTTTTTTTTAAATACATCTTTATTGATTTCAGAGAGGAAGGGAGAGGGAAAGAAAGATAGAAACATCAATGATGAGAGAGAATCACTGATTGGCTGCCTTCTGCACATCCCCCAATGGGGATCAAGCCCACAACCCAGGCATGTGCCCCTGGGACCTTTCAGTCCGCAGGCTGATGCTCTATCCACTGAACCAAACCAGCCAGGGCTGTTGTTTATCTTTGTATAAAGCTCCAATTTCTTTACATTTTGCCAGACAGGACAAAGGGGCTGTGCCCTGGGAGATGTGGTATCAGGGTCAGCCTCTGTACTCCCCAGCACAGCAGGTGCTTGGATAGGCATTAGCTTGGCTGTGTGTCCTTCCTACAGTACGGCTTTTTGACCCTCCCCTCCCTTTTTAAATAAATCTTTATTGTTGAAAGCATTACATATGAACCTTTCCCTATCCCCCATACCCCTCTCCAATCCTCCTTCCCCCCCAATCCCCAAACTCTCACCACCCTACCATCTGTGTCTATGGCTTATGCACATAAGCACATGAGTTCACTGAGTGATCTCTTCCCCATCTTCTCCGCTGGTTGCCTTTTGCTCAGAGGCTGACCTGGAGTGACCTCACCGACCCTGTGAGGGCTGGAAGGAACTCTGAATCCAGCTTGGGTTGTGGAGGAGGAAGTTGAAGTTCAGAGAAGTGATCTGCCTGTGGTCTTACAGCTAATCCACTGCAGTGTGAGCCCTGCACGCAGGTCTCTCCCTCACGCACAAGACTGTTACTCTGGGACAGTGGCTCTCAGGGAGTGTTCTCACATGAGACTGGGCTTTCAGGAGATGGACGGAGGCCCTTTCCCGCCAAATCAAATACTGGAGGTCTTCCTTCCACGCACGGAAAAGATAGATTAGTGGATTATGTTTCTTCAATTTAAAAGTTAATTTCCATTAATTCTTTTTGAGCCACTACACCTGCTCCTAATTGTCTACTGGCCAATGCAGGCAGACAACACAACATGAAGCCACAGATAAATATGAACAAGAACCCCCAAAGCCTTGCAAACTATTCTTAGATGGCTTTTTTTTTTTTTTTTTTTTTTTTTAAGACTGCCATAACCACGGGCTTTCTATTGCATTCATGTGATTAAGCTGCTGGAGACATTCTTTTCCATTCAAATGCCAGAAGTCAATACGCCATGATGTCATGGTTTTCCCTAGAGAGCGCTGTGACCCCTGTTGACTCTGTACTCGGGAACATTCTGCATCTCCCTTCATGTGATTGCGGGGGCACTGCTAGGGAGCGATTCTTTCCTTCCCGATAGAGCCCTAGGGAACTGATCTGACTTTTAAAAAAAATACTAACCATGGCTTGGGGGTGGGGGGGTGTCATGAATCCCCAAACTTAGTATTTCCATCCGAAGGCCTTGTCACCGGGGAGTGCAGGGCTGGCTGCCTTGGGGTGAATTTGCATCGCCGCGGGCTTCCCAGTCTCCGCGGGCGCCCCCTGCTGGTCTCGCCGCGCTCCTGCAGGGCCGAGCGAGGAGCCGGGTACCAGGAGCTGCGGACCCCGAGCCGGGCTCGCGGAGGAGCTCCCTATCCCCCAGCAGCCACCCAAACGCTCTCGGATCGGCAGACTGGCGCACCCCGAGCCGTCCTTTCGGGGGGACCCCTCTCTGGCATTTCCATCCACCCCCCGCTGCAGGTATCCGAGCAAACACCCGTAGGAGAATGCCTGGGAATGCCTCCCGAACGTATCCAAGCACCCCCGAGGGGCGCCCCAAGGCAAGGCCGATCAGGGACTTTGGGGGGGCGGGGGGGAGGTCCTTTGTCCTTCCCCGGGACCCGGGAGGGGGACCCCGGCCCGGCCCGCGCCCGGGAGCGGAGCGGCCGGCGGGGATGCGGGTGCGGCGTCCCGGGCTCCTGCACGCGCTCCCCTATTAGGGCCGCTGCCTGACGTCACGTCTGCCGCAGATTGGCTGCCGGGCGGACGGGCTCCGCGGGGAGAAGCTCTGCAGCACTTTGCAGCGGGGCCGCCGCCGCCCGTCCCGCGCCCGCGCCCGCTCTGCTCCCCGGCGGCGCCCCCTGCCCCGCGGCTCGGCCGGGACCCCCACCTGGCGCAGCCCGCCGCCCGCGCCCCTCCCGCCCGGCTCCCCGCTCCCCGCCCCCACGCCCACCCTCCCACCCCCTCCGATCTCCGCTCGCTCTCCGGGGTCCCGGCTGCTCGGCGCCCGCGGCACTTCCTCCCCGGTCACCGCGCGCCGGTGCCTCCTCCCGCCCGGCGGGCTCCCCGCGGCTCTCGGCGGCGGCGGGAGCTGAGCGCGGGGCGGGGGCCGGGCGCCGCGATGGCGGGGTGCTGGCTGCGCTGGGGGCTCCTGCTGTGCGCGGGGCTGCTGGCCACGGGCGCGCACGGCCGGGTGCGGAGGATCACCTACGTGGTGCGCCCGGGCCCCGGCCTGGCGGCGGGCGTGCCCCTGGGCGGCCCCCCGCGCCCGCGGACCTTCAACGTCGCGCTCAACGCCGGGTACAGCCGCAGCTCCGCGGGCGCCCCGGGGGGCCCCTCCGAGCGCACCCGGCGCACCAGCCAGCCCGGCGGGGCCCTGCAGGGGCTCCAGGGGCTCCAGCCGCCGCCGCCGCCGCCGCAGCCGCCGCGGGAGCCGGCGCGGCCCGGGGGCCCCGGCGGGCAGCTGCACCCCCTGCCCGGCGGGCACCCGGCGGCCGCCCCGTTCGCCAAGCAAGGCCGGCCGGCCGTGCGGGCCAAGGGGGCGCAGGAGGCGCAGAGCGGCGGGGGCTCGAGGCTCAAGGTCCAGCAGAAGCAGCAGCTGCAGGGGTAAGCCCTCACTCCTCCCCGCACCCCTGCCTCCCCCCCCCCCCCCCACGCGGGACCGGCCCGGGGTCGGGGCCACTCGGGGCGCCGTGCACGGCGGGTCCGCTTTCTGCCCCCCGCTGGCCCCCGCCTGCCCGGGAGCGGGAGCGCGGCGGGGAGCGTGGAGCGCGGGGAGCCCGGGAACTGCACCCCGATAAACCCCCAGTGCATTGGGACCGAGCTGCGGGGAAACACAAAAGGCATTGCTGCCTGGGGCGTAACCTCGTGTGTGTGCGAGAGGGAACCCGGCTACTCCTAGGGGCTGGGCGTCCACATGAAGTCACCACAACAGCCCGGTCCCTCAGCATCAGCGCAAATTCTTGCAACACAGTTTGGATATTTTCTTCTCGCTAATGAAAAAAAAAGAAAAAAAAAAAGAGAGAGAGAGAGAAAAGTGTTGGTTCCTGTCCTGTAGTCTAGAAATGATCAGCATCCTAGAAATCCTGGGCTTGGATCTCTCTGCACCCGTGTCTCAGCACTGACAAGGTTCTGTTGCAAAGTTTCTGTTCTTGGGGGGCTCTTAAGCCCTCTCCTGGCTCCCCTCGCCGTGCATCGCAGATGGGGGTGGGTGGAGGAGACTGGTTTTAATTATTGGGCGTTTTTTTCTTCGAGGGAGGTTCCAAGCATTGTGATCTCACCCCTCCTCCTGGTTTGGACACTTTTCTCTGAAGCTCAGGTGCAGTTTAAAATGTGGGGTGCAGGTAACACACAAAATACCTTTGGCTCTGTTTTTGGGGGTTAAAGAAACTCCTCAGTCTCCTGTCTAGCCCCAAGGCATGCTGGCTTCCTGGTTCTCCCGCCTTTCCTGATACTAGCCAGAGGAATAGGGGAGCAGGATGCTGGGCGTGTGGGAACCCCCCCTCCCTCCCAGAAGGTTGGGTTCACAGGACTCTTGCTTTGTTTCAGGGTCAATGTCTGTGGAGGGCAGTGCTGCCAAGGCTGGAGTAAGGCCCCTGGCTCCCAGAGGTGCACCAAACGTAAGTCTCCATGCTCACTGCGGCCCTGCGGGGTAGGCGAAGAGGGGCTGTTCTCACTGGGCAATCAGAAAAGGGGAGGGCACGGGAAAGGGGCCGGTGCTGTTCTGGATACCTCGGTGTCTGGAGGACAATCCACCCCATTATCTGCAGCTTTCGTTACCATCCGGGAAGGGCTGGGCCCTGGTAACGTTGGTTGGTATCAATGCCAGCAGCAGACAGTTGTCCAGAACCACGCAGCCAGGACGCCTCTGCACCCAGCTCAGGTGCTAATCACTCCGTCACACCTGTGAGTGGGGAGTTAAGCAAAACATTCCTGTTGGAGGATGTGCCCTGTGGCAGGTGCAATGCAATTAATTGAATCCTGGATGTCAACAAGTGAAAAACATTCCTTAAGAGGATGGCAGGAAGGGAATGGGAAGTAGAGGGCTCTATTTTAGAATAAAACAGCAGTAGTTTTAAAAAAAAAACCCACAAAAACCATATTTTTATTGATTTCAGAGAGGAAGGGAGAGGGAGAGAGAGAGATAGAATCATCAATGATGAGAGAGAATCATTGATCAGCTGCCTCCTGCACGCCCCACACTGGGGATCGAGCCCACAACCTGGGCATGTGCCCTGACCAGGAATCCAACCATGACCTCCTGGTTCCTAGGTCAACGCTCAACCACTGAGCCACACCAGCTGGGTAAAGCATCAGTAGTTTTTAAAGCTTTCTGAAGACAGCAACCAGAATCCTTGAGGCCTGGCTGTCTGACTGGTGGGCTTTCCTGCAGTTAATACTCATGCTTAGCAGTGTTTTAGATGAATAGATTAAGGATGCATTTAGATCTGGAAATACTTCTCCGATGCATCACAAAGTTGAGGATTAAGGGGAAGCATATTTTGAGGCTCCGCTTGACAAGTTGCTCCTATCTCAGGTTCATTGGAAGTAAATTTTTACTTCCACTCAGAAAAAGTTAAGCGTTCTTGGGTGTTCTCTTGAGCCATAACTATGTGAACTGAGCCATAACTATGTGAACTGAAATCCTCCAGAGTTTCAGCTGCTTGTTAGTATTCAGCGTAACAAGCCAGATTTAGCAGTTTGTCTTGTGTACGGTTTGGATTTAAAAACACCGGTGGATGAGGTTTTAAACATCCAAGTCCAGTCATCCTGGTGAGCTTGTTTGCTGAAAAACGCCTTCCGTCCTTGAAAGTCGCAGGAGGCCTTGGGCACGGTGGCTTCAGTTTTGTAAAAGGGAGTGTCCAGGTGGGTTAGGATTTGTCTGTGACCAAGGGGTAGTGGCACATGTGAACACACTGATTGAGTTTAACCCACGAGATTAGAAATGCTCAGGGTTGCAGGCATTTGAGATTAGGTCATAACCTGTCACTTCTCAGATTGCACTGAACAATGGCGCATCAGTGTGCTCCTGAATTTACAGTTGCTCAGGTCGCATTACACACTCTTGATTTCCTCCCGTAACTCCTGCACAAAACCTGATGTGACGTGGTTGCCTAAAAAAAACGGAGACAACCCACCCATGAGAGCACCGTGGCGGTGGGTATTACTGTGTAAAGATGGAAAATACGGAGCAGGATTTCAGAGAAGATGGTGGGGGCCGCTCGTCGGAGAGAATGCATCAAGGCTTTGAGACATTGACTTGGCAAATGTTGCAGTTAAGTGCCCTCTCTTAATGTCTGTAGGTCCCCCCATCCTCAGACAAGAAGTAGTTTCCCCTTCTCAGGTTGTCTGAGGATTCGGGGGCCTAAAGACATTCTAGAAGACTCAAAGAAGCTGTAGAAGGAGAACATGAAGATTTTGAGGAACCGCCACACGGCTTTCTGCTTCTCCAGGGGAGAGACAGAGGGTGGGGGTGTGCCTCTGAGAAGCTAGGGTTGAACAGTCCCTGCAGGCTTCCAGAGGAAGTCCCTCCACTAACGCAGTATCACAAAACCAACAGCAAATGCTTCTGGCTGTCGGCCCACGTTATCCTTCCAGATCCTGGAACGCAGCCCTGGTGTCTAAGCAACGCAACATCACTTTCCCTCAAAAGATGATCCTTCCCGCCCAACCGGACAAGTTAACTCAGGCCCAACTGCTAGAAACCTAGACCACGAGTCCTCCCAGCAATAATTGTCCTTAAAAACGATCTTGGAGTAGGTCATCATAGATACAAAGTGATGTATCTGTTTCAGCGGGGGACTTGCCTTGTGTGTGTCTTGCATTGCCAGCAAGATGAAGGAGCCTTTTGCTTTCAGATGGGACTGCGGGGTGACCACTGATGCTGGAAGCTTGTGTTGCTAGGAAAAACCCTTGGTCGGCAAACTGTGGCTCCCGAGCCACATGTGGCTCTTTGGCCCCTTGAGTGTGGCTCTTCCACAAAATACCACAGCCTGGGCGAGTCTATTTTTGAAGAAGTGGCGTTAGAAGAAGTTTAAGTTTAAAAAATTTGGCTCTCCAAAGGAATTTCAATCGCTGTTGATAGTTGGCTCTGTTGACTAATGAGTCTGCCGACCACTGCTTTAGAAGAAGACTGAGTTCAGAACCTCAGGCCTTCACTGGCCGCATGGCCTTGGGGAACTCACTTGACCTCTCTAACCCAGTTTCCCAGCCTGAAATGACTGCTCTAAATGTGCCTGCTTTGTAGGATTACAGTAGGGACGGAGGTGAAAGAGGATGGATGTGAAACTCTTGATGAGACCAGAAGGATTCTCAGAGTTTATTATTGGGTCAAGCCAAGTCAATCCTGTCTCACGTCTCTCTGACTTGGTTCTCTCTCTCCATTCCCTGTGTGAGTTTCCCAGCACTCGCCCTTGCCCTTCTCTTTAGAGTAATTTAGGGTTGGGGGGGATGAGTAAATGGGGACCATGAGTAAGTTCTGGGGATCCAATGCCCAGCAAGGTGACAACAGTTAACAGTACTGTGGCGTAGACCTGGAATTTGCCCAGAGGGTAGGTCTCAGAGAGTCCTCACCACAAGAAAGACAGGCTAAGTCTGTGAGGTGATGAGTATGTTAATTAGCTTAATTGTGGTGATTATTTCACAACATATCAAAACAATGGCATACACCTTAAACACATGCAGTATTTTATTTGTCAATTATACCTCAATAAAGATGGAAGAAAAAAAAAAAAGAACAAAAGAAAAAGCCAGTCATTCTCGCTCTTTTCTGGCTTTGATTAGCAAGACAAAAGAAATAAAACTTTGGGTTGCTCTGCTTCCCCAGAAGGATTTATTTTAAAAGAGCTCTAAAAGAGACTAACTGTTAGATTATTTCTGTGTTTAGGTCTGCTGTGAAGGAGCTTGCTGAGGGGAAAACACTCCCCTGAGGTATTCATAGATTGAATGGAAAAAATCCTGACACCAGTTTTTGTGACTCTAACCGCTTCAGGAAATACTAGTGGCATTAAGATTGCAACAGAAGCTGACTCCTTCCTCTCTCATTAACTATGCTGAGATTGAACAGGTACACTTGGGTATGATTTATTACACTTAAAATATAACACACACACACACACACACACACACACACACACCCAAAACCCCAATGGCATGCCCACACGAAGTTCCTCCTTATTAGAGCAATCATACAGTGCGTGTGCTCATTCAGTGCATCACCCAGACGCCTCCTCCTTGTCACTGTGTTTTGAGGATAATTGAAAGGCTTCCATGAAAGAATTCCAGGTCAGAGCCAATGGATGCAAAACAGTATTTCTGCCTCAGAGGTAGGATGTGTTTATGTTGTTTCCTTTGCTTAATCCAGTGAAGAAAATAAGGTGCCCCAGGATCGGTTGTAGTTGATTGAGACCGAATTGAAATGGACCACAGGCTGGAGATGTAGTGACCCTTCAGTCTCCGATCGGAGAGAGAGAGAGGGGGGGGACACAAGCAGGCGGCAGGCCCACAGGGGCCGAGCATGGATGTGCGCGCCCACAGAGGCAGTCCCGGGGGTCAGAGCTGCCCCACTCTCCGGAGGGACACCCGATTGCATGCTAATGGTGGCGTCCCAGACCCCCTTTGTGCGTGGAGCCCCAGAAGTGGAAATCGCAGCACCGGATACAGCGTTCTAGTTATTAATGGGAAGTGACTGCTGATAACGGTATCGGTTTTGGGTAAAAGAGATAGTGCCACATTTTTCCTCTTTCCAGAGCATTACCGTTTCAAGGAGGGCCTTGCAGCGTAGAAACTCTGTCTTTTGGGTGGAGCATTCATGTTTTTGCCTCTCTCCATTTTTTTCCATCCTCCCCCTCCCCCCCTCTGTCCAAACGGAACCCACCGCCTATTAGGGTTCTTTCAAGTTGTCTGTCTCCCTTTCAGGGTAAATGTGGGCCAGAGAGAGACATTGCCAGTGGGCTTGGCTTTAAAGAGAAGACTGGCCGTGGGAACGGACACCACAAAGGATAGAGGGGAGACGAGGGTGAGGCCGGCTGGCAGGATGGGGGTGGGTGGGAGGGGGAAGGTGGCGGAGGGCCCGGCCCATGGCAGGCCCTCGGATGGTTCTTTCATTTCCTTCACAGAAGGTCTGTTTCGCCTTTACCCTGCGCCACGTTCTATGAATAGAGGAGAAACGCAGCCAGCTGTGGGGAGGACGGGGTCTGTTTTTGCTCACTTCGCTCGTGCACAGCAAGTGGCTTGTTCTCTCCTCGGCAAGAAATAGAAAGATCGATATTCCATTGCTTTTCCATTGGCGCCCAGCCCACGCCGCTTTGGAAAGAGGAAGCCCAAACGTGCTCCTCCTTTAGACGCAGAGTGGACAGGTCTGTGGGCCCTCGGGGCTCAGCGATGCTGCAGCCGAAGGCATCGGCCGGGAGGGTGCGATGAGGCTGGGTTTCGGGGGACCCAGGGGATCCCCAGGCTGTCTCCTGGCCCTTTCGGCTCAGGCTTGTGCTAGCGGAGCTCGGGAGCCAGGCCCAACGCGAACACACATTTTTTTTCATGTGCCTGCTACGGCCATCGACGGCCGCTCTGCCCGCAGGTCTGCAGTGAGGTTTGCCATGGCAACTGCCGGGAGCCGGGTGGG